AAGTCCTACCAATCAATTACAGATTAGGCATGCTCTGCAAAGTCCTACATCATGGCTATTTCCGATGTATAGGTGTGTGGATCTTCCAGACACGTTCTTTCAGGATTTCAGGCTAGAACATGAAAGAAGCATGGGAAGAAGGGACGTAAGGTCCTAGGTCTGAGGGAAGAGATGGGAAAAGAGCTCCTGGGGCCTGGAGAGAGAGCAGGGGTGAGCAGAGGAGGAGATGCTTCTGAAGAGAATGCAAGGGAAAGGCCGGGAGGGAAGCCCAGCCAGGAGCGATCTCTGGATATGTCATGTGCCAAGGGGAAGTAAGGAGCCACACGTCCAGATTCGCCCAACCCAAAACCCTCTGGAAAAGTGGGCAAAGAGCTGGAATCTAGATTCAGCAAACAAGGGGACACAAACCATTAGTCAACACAAAAACATACTAATTCTCCCTGTAACAAAAGCAGTGAGAGTTCAACAACAACAAAACACCAAGGGGAGATGTTTTCAGGAGCTAGCATTGGATGTTGAGATGAGGGTGTGGGACAGGCGCACAGAGTGGGGTTAAGCTGTTTCATTTCCTGTGAAGCAATTTGGCAATAAGCTATCCCAGTGTTTATAAGTTGTCACTGTAGACCCAATGAATTGGCTTTGGAGAATCTCAGTGAAAGACTCAGAAAAAGTTATACTCAGAGGAGGTTCATTGCATTATTTATAGTCAGGAAAATTGGAAATGACCTAAATCTCCACCAATGTGAGAACATTCACACACAAAAGAAGCAAGAGGACAGAGAGGTGAGGAGGGTGTATTTAATGACACAGAAAAATCATTGTGATTTATTGTGAGTAGAAAACAAGTAGGAGCCAAGAAATCATAGTGGCCAAAAGTTCTGGCCTTGAAGACATCAGCTTGGGCTCAACCACTCTCTCTGCAGCTCCCTTACAAATGGACTCAGCGACTATCATGGCATGTTTTCCCTAAGGGCAGCTATCACCAAAGGACAGACAAATGCATTACACATGCTGTTCAAGACAGATGGAAATGAATGCATCGCATGTTACCTATCGCTATCTGCGGAGAGTGGGATTGTGAGTGATCTTAGTTTTGTTCTTTTCCTTTTGATTTTCCAAAATTAAATATTTCACTTATGGCATCTGGAAAAGTATCCAGAGCCTGGGCAAGGTTAAGTTAACAGTGACCTTGGCAATAGCAGTGTCAGTAAGTGGGAGGTGGAAGAGGGCGGGCACCCCATGGAGACCTCTCTCTCCCCAGGGGCACCAGAGACAGAGGCAGGACTGGTGGAGAGTAGAAGGCCTGTGGCTGGTTTAGTTGCTCCAAAGAAGTGGACACATGTCTAAACCTTGGGGAAGAAAACTTTAGAGGGGAGAGATCAAAGTGCAGGGAAGTACTGTAACCTCCTAAGTGGAATAACACATTCTAGCCAGTAGAATATGGCAGAAGTGCGGAGTGCGAGTTCGTGGGGAAGGCTG